TCACATATTTTAATAAATTTTCGCAATTTTAGATACGATATATAAATATAAATTATTAATAATATATAAACTTTAAAAATGAAAATATATAAATGGATGGCTTGGAAAAGTAAAGAAAAATACCAATATATTTTTTAAATTCTTTATTTTTTCTACTTTCTTAGTAAATCAATGACTTCAGCTACTATACGGACTGTGTATGAGTTATAATTTATTTTTATGGCGCATTATAATAATTAATTAAAATTTCCTTTATCTTCCTACTTATTCTCTTATCATAATTACAAAAATTCGAAGTAAATAATTTTATCTTTTTCATGAAATGCATTCTACAATCTGATATTTAAGCTCCGTTAGTCATTACTTATTATTATATTTTACTCTTCTTGCGGGATGGCCTAGAGAGACAATAGTATGACAATTTCATTATATTAATTTCAGAAAATAAAAAAGTTATATACTTTTCAATCTTTCGAAAAAGTTATCTGAAAGTGCGTTTTAAAATACTGTGACTGTTCTACATGTTATACACCGTAGATGTTTTCGTTTATAAATTACATGAAAAGTGTATACAAATAGCAACCAATAATCTCAAAGAAAACAGTTGATATCAACTTGTTTTTCAAAATAAATCTCTCAGCATAAATTTTTATATTGAATTTCATGCGTTCAGAACTGATATAAATTAGTGATGCATTATTATATTATATAATATTTTTGTTTAAAAAGGCGAAAGAAAATTTAACAAAAAAATAAAATTGATTTCTGTTTTCAAAATATTATTTTCCACATTAATTTATAGTGCGCATAACGAAACAATTTTGTATAAGCAAATCTTAGATAAAATTTTTAAAAGAAGCCTATATAAATAAAAAATATATGTATGTGAAAAATTATTGATATTATGATAATTTATTCTAAGAATAAAATTTTACGTGTCATTAGTATACACTTTTCTAAAATTCAGTAAAGAGAAAAAAAAATGATTTTTTGGCGATTTTTTTCTCTCTCTCTTAATTTATGTAAAATTTCTCTAAATATTATCTTATAAATATTATCTTTTTTCGTTAAACTGACAAGTAGTCGCAGTGCGAAAGCGCCAGCACTTTGACAATTCCATCGTGTTATTACATCACGAAGAGAAGTTTATTATTTCATAACAGATTGTCAAAGGAAATAGATTTAGTTTATTTTTCCGGACATGTGATTCTATTATCTTTAATGAATGTCGCATTTTTCTAATTATAAGTACACATTATTGCATGCTAAATGAGACTAATTAATATAATTGATATTTAAAGATAATTTTTATCAGATATGAAAACCTATGTCAATGATCCAACTTTGAATAATTCATTTAATGGATCATCAATTATGTATTTTGCAAAATAGCCATTTTCATATCTGATAGTACAAGAGACAAAAGATAGTCTTAATTTCTGGTATTCATGTAACAAATATAATGAAGCAATGTGTAACATGATATGAAATATATAATATGATATGAAATATATAATGAAATTTGAAAAATGGAGTCTGTATTACTGATATTTTGGAAATATATATGCTTCTAAATCAGATTTTAAATGCATATCCTAACATAAAATGTACTCACAGAATGTAATGTATACTAATATTTTAAAAGTATTTTGGAGACACATTTTGAGCGCATTTCATCGTGATAAGTATTATGTACAATTGAAATTCGCTTTTACGACATCATTCTCGAATCAGAAAAAATAAAAGATTCAATATACACTAAGGCTACATCAAAACTATGTACATCGATTATAAATAGAGCACTGGTAATACCCTTCGAAAACTTACTTCTAATTAATATGTATAATATATGTATATATTCATTTTTTTATTAATCAATGTATATTATTAATAAATTCTTAGATATGGTTTCCCGTAGCTTAAAAGCTAGCACATGTATTTTAAATATAGTTTATAAATATATTCGACTTATTCTCACTTATTCTCCCAAAATAATTACGAATAATTCTCAATGATTAAATAGTAACAATATTTTAATATGAAGTTGTAAGCGAGAGAATTGGTACTGTGATAAGAGTGAATAAAACAATAAAAATTAGTCCAAAAATGGACACATGATATTTATTTATCATTTAGTTTGCTCTTATTACAGTACATTTGGCCATAAAGTTACATATCGCGTTAAAAAATATGATTAAATTCCCATATATATTAACAAATATTTGGTCCATATTTCTACGGAACTAGAAGACAAGAATGAAATCAAAGTGAACATGTGCTTAATTTTTAGGCTATGCATTATATATATAATTCCTTTGCAGTAAAAATATATCATAACTACAATATATCGTACTTGATTCTTGACTAGCATGTGTTTATACGAATGACTTCCTACTTCACAGATACGATATCAAAAAACGAAAAACATTTGATGACATAATTTGATCATTAAATTTAATAATGAATTCTGAATTTATTTCATTATTCTCTTTCTATATAGATCTTCTTCTATATAGATTTTTTGTGTCGATGTATGAATGCATATTTGACATTAAAAATCTGAAAAATAACAAAAAAAAGCAGTCATTCGATAAATTTACATACATAAGCAAATTTCGCATTCAACAATTCTCGTGTTCAGTAATGCACACAATTTCGCTTTCGTTATCGCATACGTGTATATGTGCGCGCACACGTATACATGCAAATCATGGGGTAATACGACGGCTTTATTTTATGAATAAATTTTTTTAAAATATTACAATCTATGAATCTGAGACCATAAAATCCAGAAGAGGAATATAAATATTGTATTATTATATCTGCGTAAAATATTTAATAAACCAGATATATATATATACGTAAACTTCGTCGTGAAATATTTAATGTATCTTCGTATCACTTTCTATAAATCGTTTGTTTTTGTATATTTCATTAAGGCTTCTACTGTCTATTTGATGTAAGTTAAGCTATTGATATAATTCCTATACACTTTAAGCAAGATCAAAAGAATATCTTCATATATTGGTGTTATGAGTGATATTGAATATTTTTCTTGGGGAATGTTTAATTAGATGAAAAAATTAAATGCTTTACAAAGGATTGATTTCAAGTTCCTTAGATCTGTACACATAAATTATATATTCTAGCGCTGCGGATATTTTTTACTACTCATTACATCCACTATTTCTCAGTCTTGTAATAATACTACACTTTAATACTTTTATAATTTTATATAAAATCATTGTACGTATCTATACATTGTAAAATAACACTATGTCTTCGATTTAAATTAATGCATATTGCAATAGATTTGTATGGACTTTAATGTTTTTATAAGAATGAATACATACAGTACATAGAACACAAGCGCATAAAGTCTATAGATTTTTCTTGTATAAAACAGTATTAAATTTGGCCTAATAGAAATGAGTTCATATGTTAGGATAAGAAAAGATAATATAAAATAGATAAGAAGGTGAGATTAAAGCAGCGCAAGACAATTACAATTTCACACTGAAAAAAAATTTTTATAATCATTTAATAATCTAAGAAAATAAATGTTACAAAACTTTTCTATTTTCTTAGATATAAAAAAATAATAAAATGCTTTCATATTGTGATACAAAGTTATTGATGAAATCCATAACTCATCTTACAATATGTATTGTCCTGCAAGTTTCAATGTTTATAAATTTTCATTGATGACCACAATATCTTTGTATTCATAATTATTTTTAATTATAAATTTGATTATTTGCCAGAGATATAGTATGATGAAAATAAAACAAAATTCTATATGTATTAATTATATCTCACAGTATGAAATAATCTACATCGGGCTTATAAATGTATAACTCTAAGTTTTTATTATTGCGTTTAATATCACTATTAATGCTAACTTCCTCAGCATGATATATCCATTGTATGTGCAATATTATACGAATTATACTCCTTTTCACAAAATTTGTAATCTCTTCTTATGAAAAAAGAGAAAAATAAAGAGAGATCAAAGAAAGGAGAATGGAAGAAGCACAAAATATTATAAATATGCTCATGTATAGCACACATATTTATGTTTGTAAAAAATAATATTAAAAATAATATAATATAGTTTTAGATTTATTATAATTATTGTAAATATATATTATTCAATTTGATATTTTATCTACTCGTATCTAATATATATAAATACGTGACATTAACCATCAAAATAGAAATAAATATTTTTGGTAAAGACTTTGTAGAAATATATAAAGTATCATAAATAAATAAGTAAGTATATACTTTAAATAAGTATGAATTATTTTAAGTACAATGCAACAATAAATTAAATAAAAATAATTATATATATAAATAAAAAGAAAGAAAGATAGTGTTACATTTGTGTCTTACTTTAATTTATGATATTAAGATATTCATGATCTAGTAAAAAATAATAAAGATATAAAATATAAATGATTAAAAAAAGATATATGTTGTAATAAAAAAAGATTGGAAATGTTCACTGTATGATAAATGTCAAAATAACTAGATCTTTACACTCATTTTGCAAATCTTACTTAGACATTGTTTATAATCTATATATATCTTTGATTGCCCAGAGACTATGGTATTTACCATATGTGTCTCATTAGAAAGAAGACCATTTAAAGGCTGTAACATTTTATCTTAATCTTTAAAAAATAACTTGTAAGTATGAAAACCCTGTGAATGTTATGCAACTGACTATGTTCAGTGCATTTTTTGGTTGTACAGAATGTGGATAGATAATATTTCAACCAGTACAAATAAATGTTGTTTAATTATGTCGCCTCTAAATGAGACGAGTTCTCAAAACTTTATAGCATATGATCGATTACAATAATAATGATCATTTCGATTCTTTGTAAATTTGTTATATATACTGGAGCTACTATTTTCCTATTTAATATACAATTCCGTATCTTTCTGTCTAGCATTTCTGAAGTCTAAAAAGAAATACAAACTAGTGTTTCATGTTTTCAAATTTTTAATTTTAAAAGAGATACAAGCTAAAACTATTTTATTCGAGGTATTAGAATTCTGTTGTATTATTTATGAGCTCTGATGTCATATTGATTGATCCATAAAATTTCAAGAACTCTGACGTGAAATCTCTAAGAATGAATGAATCTCATTCAATTTTTTCGAAAATGACTGTACAATAGTCTATATAGAAGTATACTCATACAAAATAAGAAAGTATTTAAAAAACGATATACTCATATAAAGTATACAATGCATATCTTTTACATCCTAGGGCAGGATTTTTACTATACAAACTATTAGTTTCTTATTGAGCATATTTTAGAAATTGTTTGAGTCGTTGTAGGAATTGTGTTTGATTACTGACATTATTTCGACTATACGCTAGTACCTAGATTTTTGTATAAATTCATGTCTTTTTTACATTTTTTCTTTTTTTTCTTTGATTGTGCTTTTTAGAGGAAGACATTTACGAAAACATCAATAAAAAAACCTTTAATTTAGTAAGAGTGCTTTCGTGTTCTTAGAATTATGAATTTTTGATTGTTATTTGATAGGGTCATTTGGCATGTTATACAATATTGGCATGTGGCGAATAATCATAGATAGATTCAAAAGTAATCCCAGATATCCGCGTATAGTGTAAATAGTCACAATGCCCCAATTATAATTTCTACCATTGAAATACTCATTCTTACTCATTTTGTTTGGAATTCCTAGGAACTTCAAGTTTTCTCTTTTTTTCCCAAACAATATTATTACATTCAAGCTTCCTGCAATAAGAAAAAACATAGTGTAATTATTGGGCATCAAAAATCAGAAAGCAAAATTATATTTTTAATTGCAAATTGTTATTTCATTTATGTATCAAAAATGTTTTTCAGAGTTTAATGTTACATAGATTCAATTTATTATCTCTACCATTTTTTATAACTTCATAATACTTGTTTCACATTTTGACTAGTTTATAATTGTATTTTGCGATCAATTACGGACCAATTTAATATATTGTTTTTGTTTAAGTATCATACTGAAGAAGACTAAGTTAAGTCGAAACGTTTGTGATCTTTTAATTAAACGAACTTATAATTAATTGTTTTATTTATTTTTATTTCTAGCTTATTAATTTGCTCGTATTGTCGGCCCTTTAATGTTAATTTGATTATTATTGCATTGCAATACACGAGCCTTCTAATTGTCATTATATCTATTATTATCATAATACTTACTTCAGGGAACAAAAAATGATCACGAGTAGGTTGTGGTTGCTCGAATGGTGAGCTACTCATGTAACCAGGTGATGGTGACTCACTCTTTTCTAACACTGGAGTGATATTTGCATAATTAGCAGATGCCGTTGTAAGAATCCGTCCCTGCTCTACCAATATACTTCGATCAATTTTGTAGTATTCTTTCCCACTACGAGGTCGAAGAGTAGTTGCTACTGCTCTGCCTCCTAATCTGTATATATGATATATATATTCCCAATTACATAAATAAAATAACTGATTTACAAAAACTAATTTATATGTTTATAGAGATAGTTATAGTTATGGAGATTGAAACTAAATTGAGAGAATAATTCTTTATGTAAAACAAGTTGATTTATACAATTAAAATTTTCAAACAAATTGGACAATAAAAAGATAAAAATTGTAAATAGATAGAATATTTTATTTTTGTTTTATTCTACAATTTAATTATCAAAATATTGTAAATTAAAAAATAATGTATTCTTATGAAAAAATCAAATTAATCAAATTTATAAAAAAATTTATAAAAATAATTTTAAAAAATCTTAATCACTTAAAATATTGTACATAAAGTTTGAAGATTATTCTCTATAAAATTTAGTCGATAGTATAATATATAAATTAAGAAATAACTTTAAATTAATATCATATAAATTAAGAGATGAAAAGGACAAAATAAGTTTCTCGAATCTTATAATTACATGTGCAAAATATCTTACCGTAGGCTGTCGGGCGTATCAGATGAAGAGTGTGACGATAGTGACAAAGTTTCAATATAATCCGACATGTCGGAAGTTCCACTGCTAGTACTCCGAGAATCGATGTAAGGTGTATTCGAGACTTCACCGGGACTGTTAAAGCCCTTCGTGGCCTTCGGTAAACACGTAGGTATGTCAGCTTCCGCGGACGAAGATTTTGTCGGTACCTTGATTTTTTGAAACTGAAAAGAGATTTCACGAAGAGGATCGCTAGATTTGGACTTCCTCGGCAGGCTGCTGTGGTAACACGTGGGTGGTGGACTTTTACGACAAACTTGCGATAACATATTCTGCTTTATTGCCGAAGCGGCAGATCCCGTCAACTCATACTCGACAAATTCCGCCGTTCGATGACTCAAGGAGCCAGTGGAAACGCCCGAATCGTTGCTACTCGACGAGTCTCTGTTGTGACCGGTCTTAGATGGTACGGATGACGAGCGTCGGATTTTGATAAAGGACGGCTGAGACGCGACACCGGTCACCAATGTCTGCCCATTCTCGTGATTGCTATTACTGATCTTATTCTCGGAGTTTACGCACGAATTATGCGGCTCGCCGGTTATCAAAGAATTTTTGTCCGCTTCGCTTGAACACTTGTGGATGGTAAGCGTGGACGGAAAGGTATGGCTCTCGTCGTCCAGATAATGCGCGGACTCGGCAGAGTAAGATCGTTTCCTGAGAAGTATATTTATGCCGCTAGCACCAGATTCTGTGACGTTACCCGCGTCCAAATAACGACGTCTGAGATACGGGCTGGATAACATTGCTGAACCTGGCACACGATACTCCGAATCGGAACGTTTCTTATTCCCTTCGAGTAACGTGGATCCCGATAATGTCGGATTGCTAGAACTCTTGATGCCGCTGCAAAGCCTGGACAAGATCTCCTTGGAACAAGCATTATGAATCGGATGCATCGGTAAGTAACTAGGAAATGGTTTTTTCGGGGTTTGCTCCGGATCCATAACTAAATAATCATCTTCCCTTTCCTTCGCGTGACCGCACTTTTCGCAAACCTTGGAAACGCTCTCGCTCCTTGGTACTTCGGATGCCGGTTCCTTTAACTGATCCGCGAATTTTTCAATCTCTTCCTGCGATATGCTACTCTTTGTTAGTACGTCTTTGCTGTTTTCGTAATGTTCGAGCGATTGCGTAAAATCTATATTCACGTAATTCGGTTGCTTTGATTCTGGTTGCGTATCTATTACCGGTTCGACATTCTCGTAATTGTTCGATTTACTTGTCGCAGCACAGCCACAATTCTCCACAATAGCTTTTTCGTCGATCAATTCAGTTTTATGTACCCTTTTAGTTGTTGCATAAATGGCTACATCCCCACTGGCATTCACCACTGGCATCTTGCCTTCACCCGAGAGCTTCACAGGATGTACCGTGACACCGGTAGGTTCGATTCCTGCGCCGCGTCGACAATAAGGAAGGACAAAACCAGCCCAGCTCATAACATTGTGACAAGGACATCCCGAAGATCTGGGTGACTGAACCGTGAGTTTTGCGGGACATCCGCATCCTTGCAGGACTACGGCCTGCGGCACCTGAGGCGTATCATAATTGGGATAAGTTTTCGGCAGTGTAAGACATTCTTTGATTTTTCTTGGTGTATCATAATACTGTTCCGGTTGCGGGCCTTGCTCCAGCAGCATATGATGACCCAGGATTGTTTTTGGAATGTCGTAGTTCTCATAAGGTCCTGCGGCGCCGCGAGACACGAGCTGCTGCGATTGTTGCTGAGACTGTTGAGTTTGTTGGGGCTTTAATGCGTGCACGCAAGTCTGTTGTTGCTCGGTTGGTAGCGGCATCGGCGGTTTCTTAGGCTTCTTGGCAGTGACGGATTGATTAGCTATTGGTAGTGATGACGGTTGGGACGGTTTCGGCGGTCTCGGTGGCAACGCACTCGGGCTCGGTGACATTCGACGAGCCGTCGTCTGCTGTGCCGTTTGAGACTGGGCGGTTTTCGGTTGCGCGCACTGACATTCGATCTGCTGCGAGCCGGAATAATCACTGTCGTGACTACTACTGCTATAAGAGGACAGTGAGAGTCGATCGAAAGTACGAGGTTGCAAATGACATCCTAGATTGTTTAACGTACTGGCGGCTGGACTGCTTATACCGCTCATAGTAGTCGTGATCAAGGTGGACGATTTTGAGACTGTGCCGAGTTTGCTGATGCAACTGGCGCATCTCTCGAGACCAGTCGCACCTTGACGAGTGAGCGAACAGCTGCGCCACTCACCGCTAGGTTGCTGATCGGGCAGTTCCGATATCGACATCGTATCCCTGCAACTGTAATCGCCATCGAGTTCCGCTGTCTGTTGTCTGCTCTCCGCGGACGACCAATAGGGCGAGTTCTCATTCTTGCAGCTGTCGCATTGTTCTTCGTACGTAGATGTCGAATACAAAGCGATCGAAGGGAAAAAATCGCTGGCTCTGGTCTCTGAGCGGGAACATTGACGTCGTCCCGGGCTGTCTTGCGTCATCGATTGTTCTCTACTGAGCGGCGATCGTTTTTTCGTGGTGAGCTTTCCCTCGGCCGCCAATTGTAATGTCTTGACTATATCATCTCCTTGATCGGTTATCAGAACGTGTAGCCCCTCGCCTCGACCGCATCTAGAGCCGCCCTCGAAGCAAAATCTACCCTCGACCACACCGTATCGTCGAAGATGTGCAATCTCCCATATACCGACGAGCCGTGGTGGCACGCCGACAGTGATGCAGAAACGACGATCCTGAATGTGCAAGTGGGCCGGTCCATTAGTGAACTTTGCCTTTGACGGTACCGAAGAGATGAGTATCAAGAATTGCTGATCTGTTAGACAAAGTTGGCGAATTAAATATACAAGGTATGATAACTTTTTCAAACTTATTTTATGCATTATAGAGAACTCTCCGCATAGTATCCTGCATAACTATAATATATGCTTCCTTCTCTCTCTTTCTCTTTCTTTCTCGCTAATGTACTTTGCGTGCAATTTACCTTCACCCAAGTTGTTCGAGATCTTAACCTGCCACTGAATCAATCGCTCTCGCGTGTCAAACGCGAGAACGACTGTCACATCCTGGCAAATTATAGCAATTGTATTGGATTCTTTGTCAAGGGTAAAACCGCTCTCCACTCCCAGAAAATGTTGCAAGCTCAAAGATGCTTTCGTTTGGCCTTGTTTGTAACGATCCTTACTATCCCCGTACAGTTGTAAATGCAAGCAATCTGTTGATAAAAGAAAAAAAATATTTATCAGATATATTTTTGTTAAAAGTACGAATACAGTCGTCAAATTATGTAGTAAAACAAATTATGTATGTTTATATTCCTCTTTCTCTACGAGTTTTATATCTAAATATTTTTGTTACACTCACTTTTGTTACATTTGGCATTTTTTATCAATGCTCTTTTTGTTAAATAAATTCTTCTTTTAATATAGTTTCAATAAAGTCAAATAAATTTTTTAAACAATTCCGTTTATAACTTTTGATAATATAATTTCTTTAAATAAAAACATAATTTATTTATTTCTGATTAACTATTTAAAAAATGATAATTAAATTTTTACGAAAAGAAGATCGAAAAAAAACACGATTTTCGAAAACTTTAACGTCATTATTACATGTTCAACATTTTTTAATAAATATATATCTAACAAAAGATATTTACATTTTTTGTTTTGTATATTATTTCTCGGCACATGTTAATTTATGGTAAACACAACACATTCTCGACATACAGAAATAATTTTGCGTTACATATCGCGCATTTACTTTCTCTTCGGTAACAACCTAAGAAAAATTTATGAAACGTTGAAAGACCCTTAGTTCTAAAATATCCTCAAGTTATAGGGATCATATATTAATGGTTATTGCCAGGAGCAAAGCTGTTCTTGGAAATTTTTTGTTGCTTCAAGCAACCAATCTGTAACAGATGTGGCAGCTGCCACCCTAGGTAGGTCTAAAGGGAGAGACTCTTTGTACTGATAACAAGCAGGAAAGGTCCTTTTAAAGGGAGAGACATGGACAGAGAGAGACATGGAAATAATTAACTTTTCAGCTACAAATTCCAACAATTTGTAACACATGGAATGCAGGAGTCTGTAACAGTTCTCCCGATAGCTATAGTTCATTTTGAAATGAATATTAAACAATTACGCGAACGATATCTGGACTGTATTAAATTGCTAATTAATCTAAAGTCTTTTTAATTACATGAGATTGAACTTTATTACAATATATATATATACACAAAACATTAACATAAACATACAAAAACATTATATATATGTATATATATAATGTTTTTGTATGTTTATGTTAATGTTTTGTAATGTTTATGATATACACAAACGAGTCAGTTATTATATTTTCATTACAACGATATTTTGAAGTTAATTTTGCTTATCCTTATAAAAGGATGGTTGATGATGCTCCATTTTTATGAATATATCAGCTCATAACAAGCTGGAGCGAAATTTGCTCTGCAATAAATTCCATATTTTCTTAATTATAAAATCACAAAAAAATATTTTACAAAAATAGGAACGTACTACATAGTTTATAAGCAAATATGAAGTACAGAATCTATTATGCAAATTGCTAGATACCACTCGTATCAACATGATAACAGAAGCAAAAAGCAGGAGTTTCAAGAATATATAATGTTTCCTGTTTATTATCTCGCTCTTCCTCTCTTTGTCGGTCTGATATAATAGAAATGCGATACAACAATGCAGAGTTTTTACATATACGCCATTAATGCAATCTTATCTAATTATCAATAATATGATAAATTATTATTTTAACTCGTCTATAAGATAAACGTTTGACAAAAACAGTAAGGCTATTGTTCGCAATTGTAAATAAAAAATTGTAGAATAAAAGAATAAGAATTGTACTTTACCTGCTACTGGCGATAATTTTCGCATAACGCACCATCTTGACTTCCACTGTAAAATAAATTATATTCTTAAAAATACATTGCTTTATATATATATATATTTTTTTTGTTAAGATTAATTGTGTTAAAAATCGTTAATAATGGAATATATAAAGCGCACCTTATAAAATGTGACATAGCATTCATTTTGAGTTCGTGATTAAACGAGAGTCCTTTTTAAATACCTTATTCTACCACTCTCTTTTTATAGACTTGGATTAGCTATTTCCCTGCAGCAGTCTCTAAATAATGTAATCCCGCTAACCTTGCCATAATAATTTAGTTCCCCAAATTAGATTTTCATTTTTTAGATGTAATCAAATTTTCTCCATTTCAAATATATAATTTCTCTTACGTTAAATAAATTAAAAGATAAATTGCAGTATCAATACATAAATAACAAAAATGATTAAGATAATTGATAAATAATGATAATTATTAAGATTCATATGCACTATAATATTTTTTAAATATAATTATTTTTTCGCGTGATTATTTTTTTACAAATTATCTCAAGAGAAAAGATAATGTTATAATTCTTAAAAAACTCTCTCAAAATATTAAAAATATAAAAGCCTATCAGCATAAGTATAAAAAACATCTGATAACAGACACAGATGAATATTATATCTGCACTGATAATATATAAAATTACAAGTTGCACAAGAATATTTTATATATGTTTATTCTTAGAAAATATTTTTATAAAATATTGAAACGAGAATTTTTATTATTTTTATTAAAATAATTAATTTTTATTAAAATTTATTATTTTTAAAATATATAAAAATATTAAAATATATTATAATATAAATTATAAATATTAAAATATATAAAAATAAAAAAATCAGATATGCATAAGGTAAAAAAAAATTATCTTATGTGAAGAAATATTTAAAAATTATCAGAAATATTTTCTTTAATAATCTTTTTGTTTAATTTTTATTAATATTTATCAATATTTATTTTCAAATATTTAACATCGTGCATTAATACAAAAGTTATACTCCGATATAATAATATTTTCAATTTTAATTAAATGCAATCTTTAATTATTATAATATACTATATAATATACTATATAAAATATATAACAAAGAGATATAATCTAAAATTTTAGACTTTTAATTTTTAAATAAATAATGAAGGTGAAAAAGATGCTATTAAACAACTATTAAATTTAAACTTTGTATCTTGTCCGATCTGCAAAAAATTAAATCTGACAGTTCCAAATGACTCTGCTATTGTCGCGCATCTTTTCCGGGGCATCCTACATAACGCTAACTTAAACGAGCCACCGGCGTCGTGCAAAGTACACATATACACGCTATAAACCGCCCCCGTAATCGTTACATAATTTTTATCGCGAACGAGGAGAGTTCGGTGACTTCGGTCGACGAGAGTCGCGTGTGCGCGCCTCTGAAGAAATTTGCGACACGAACGAGAGGCTCAATACGCCTGTCGAAGGACGTCGCGGACAAGATTCGCGAAATTGCGAAGATGCGCTCGCGTGATTATCGCAGGGTGAGAATGAAAATGGAGCGCGCGCGCGCGCGCGAACGCAATTTTTTCGCACTCGCTGTACGTATCGTATCGCATCGCATTGCGTACGCGGAATAGGCGGACAGCACGCAAGGATAGAGCCAGGCAGCGGACGACGAGCGGAGACTCACCTTCTTGCCGTCGCGAAATTTGACGTTTCCCTCGATGATACAACTGTTATCCACCATTGTAGAGGCCCTGGCTCCGTTACCGCACGCTGCTCCGAAATATTCTTCTCATTACCGCGTTCGATCGGCCGAGCTTCCGCGACGCGACACCATTTGCGGCATCCGCGGTCGCACCGCGCTGTCTCTCCTGTTCCTCCTCTCTTCCCCACGAAGACGGACGGGAATCACTGCGGCGCCAAGAATCACGCGGCAAAATCCATACCGCGAGCGAGATCAACCCCGTGCACCAACTGCCATCTTGACAACGTTGGGTCGCTGCGCGTAGACTAGCGCGTTTCTCGTCTCGTTCGCCTGTCGCGCGAGATACACCTACTCCGCGATGTAGCGCGACCTGTCAAACGACGGTAGAAGCGTGCGGGTAAAAGGCGGCAATTTCAAACATCGGAGTAGAATTTTCATCGATCTGCAATAACGGAGAGAAATTTATGCATTTTAGTTTAAATGTCTTCGATATTTTCTTCAAATTCGAATAATCAATTAAAATATGCGTCGATATATTTATATACTGATAAACTACGTCAATCTGTCAATTTAGGAAAGGTTTATAAACATTCTCGTATATACGAAGTGTAGTTGATACAAGAAGCACCGATTCCGAAAAAGGAAATGACATTTAAAGCATTTGAGCAGGTCTATCGATCATATGATCGATGACATATCCGACGCATGCGCGTAAAAGTTCCGCCTGGAGAGATTTGTCGCACTGTTTTCGCTCGCAAAACGGATTACAGTAACAGAATCGCCTCGTTCGTTGGTAACATTGCGCGTAGTCAAATCTATCGTAATGACAGTTTCGAGTGCTGACAGCCGCGTATACGCTCGTTAGCCGTATAACCGTGTTAGTTGATCCCGTTCGGTCAGCAGTCGGGAATTCGGTCGGTGCTCCAGACGCTCCCTCGACACGCGGACGATCGTCGAAGACACGCGGCAGCACGAGGTGGCTCGAGGTAAGCGACCCGAAAACATTCGGCGCACGGCGAAACCAGATGGCTGCGAAAAACGGCCATCCACCTGTGTGACAACCAGTTTGTTTGCTAATACGGATAACGCGGCCGTATACATGTCGCTTTTCCGGTTTGTGTGCCACTTGTGTGTGTCATTTTAATGTTATCTCCTCGCCGTTCTTCGTTTCCTCGCTTTGACGTGGGACACTCACGCAAGCGTACGCAGTATTCTATCGAGTATTCTATCAGTATTCGAGGTTACTGTCTGTATTAATTGAAGAACTAAGAGCGATAAAAGTGGGCGGAAGAGAAGTAGGTAGAAATTTAGAAAGGAGGGGGAATTTTTTTCGAAGTGAATTTTTTCGAATAAGAAGCTGGTCTCCTTTAAATAAATCGAGGTCTATACAGCTGGTCTCCTTTAAATAAATCGAGGAAAGTTTATTTTGTCTACAATTATTGCAGGGATGAGAAATAATTGTATTTTTTTTTTTAGAAAAATACAGTTTTTTTGAATAATATTAATAATAATATTAATAATTAATGATACAGTTATAGTTCGAATGAATGAATTCAATTAATCATCGTCTTTCGAATATTGAAAAAAGTAATTCTTAATAAACTATTTGTTCTATAGTAAATGATAACAAAACACAAAATATATAAAAAAAAGATAAATCCTGTAAAAAAATAGAGAGACGTAAAATTAAAATTTTACTTCTCTATTTATGTGAATATTTATTTATATACAATAAGAGAATCATATAAATTGACTAATAAATAATATGATTCATTTGATCTAATTTTATAATTAATAATTTTTCAATAACTACATATTTAAAAAATTAAAAAAATATATACTTAAAATATTCGATGAAATATTAAAATGATTATAATTGTTTATACTTGTGTATTTCATCTTATATAATTAAATTGTGTTATTAATTATTATATCAATGAAATTTCTATATATATAAATATTATTAATTAATATATATATATCAATATTATTAATTAATTATTTGCTTTACAAATTAAATATTTAAAGAATTATTGTAAGAATAGCGAGTAATGTAATAGGACAATTTTTTATTTTGTAATTGATGGGAAAGAGGAGTCTCTTTTTAAATATAAAAAAAATTTAAATACTTTCTATATCATTTCCATTATATTATCTCGCATTGCGACAATTTCATTCAAGTATACATATATAAATAAAACGGAAATAACATTTTGAATTATTATAGTATATTGACCTCAAAAAGTTAGATTCTCCATGACAATAACGTTAACACGCTGTCGCGTGAGAAATGGAATAAGCATAATATATATAGCAGTATTCGCAGTATATACTAATTTCTACTATTTCGCGTGCTGTTGCAAAACTAAGGTGAAACGGTATCGAACTACGTGAAAGTCAGTAGACTGTTTTAAAATTATATAGAATTATTAAGGATCATTCTTCAAGGTGGAAGACATTGCGTCAATGCTTTACCATCTATCCATCTTTCTTCTACACATCGTTAAATTGTTAATTAGGTGGAATTATCTCTCGGACTGTGAAAAGACTTGCACTGCATACGCTATTAAATGAGTCTGGCAGAATGTATATCGAAGATTACGAAAATAAATTCTCAATACCATGTGAGATATATTTTTTCGATAAATTTAAAAATTACTGATTCTTACAATTAGTAAAAATTTTTATTTTGCATTGAATTATTTGTTGAAAAATTTTTTGTAGTTAGTTTTGAATATATTTGATGAAAGGAAAAAGCCTAGAATAAAATCTCTATAATTTATTCGAAATTAATTGCAAAATATTATTTTTTATGTATATTTTTGAAATTTAATTCATCAAAATCTTTTAATTTTTAGTATTAAATTGATAAATTAATATCAGACTAAATATTTACTGAAAAGAAAATTCGTGAAAAATATTTTTACTTTGTTATTTTTCTCTTCTCTCTCTCTTTTTCTCCCCCCCCCCTCTCTCTCTCTCTTTCTCTCTTTCTTTATCAATCTATATTAAATGTTTTATATGTATTATTTTTGATTGTTATTTATGGAGACTTTTTACTAATATAATCGGGATATAATTAAGTTGCAAATAAAAGTATTTAATTTATTATTTTATAATTTTAATATCGTATAATTTTTTTAACATTATAAACAATTAATGAAGAGAAATGTTATATATACGTATATTTCTAATCGAATTAATGGAATATAATTAAATTGCGTTTTGAAATGTGTCTTACATCATATCGCTAGTGGGTGATGCATTTGGACAATTTCAGAATGCCTGTTACTTTACTTGGGCAACGATACGGAACGCGTTACATCAATGAAACTCGGAAGCAGATAGCGACCTTTAGCGCTTAAATGTCGTTGTCAATTACGGTTCAATAACTGAGTACCGGATTTATGCTTCTTTCTTTCATATGTATTTCATTTGTTTTTTCGTGCGGAAATTGAAGATGAATCGATTATACATTCACATACGAGCCTAACAATAATTTGAATGCGACCTAATTTCTGGTCTTATCTTGATTGATTATCCTTTATTTATATACGTAATACAATTCCGTTAGTTCTAGCTACATTTTGTCAATAATATTTCATTTTAATATTGCTCTACATTCATATCAAATTTACTATATACAATAATTAATATTTGGCCATAAAATAATATTATTATACATATTATATTTATTATTTAGAAGTAAAATATATCTATTTAATTACGTTTAAAAATAAAATTTATTTTATCTAAAGAAATTATATAAAAATATATTTTTTCCTTCTATTTATATTGTTGTTAAATATAAAATAGAAATATATTCTTAGAGAAAAATATAGAATTGCTTTTATATACATGTATACATGTGGAAGATTGTTTTACTAGATATTTCAGTGAAAAATGTATGTAAAAATGTGTGTAAAAGTGATAATATGATGAATGATATCGAAAGTTTAACCTTTTTAGTTCATTAGATCTTTTTAGTTCATTATGTAACTAGTCACGTAAAGAATACACTATGAACCATAATTAGAGCAGATAATCACTTGTGTTATTTTTCTTGTTGTATATTATTGATAACGTTGCTAATAATACAGAAAACAAATAGAACTCTGGCGTATTTTCTACATATTTAATTTGCGCAAATATTAATAATTTCTATATTAATTTATCTCTATGACGTAATAAATTCTCGTGTTTATTTAACGTAAAGTTATTGCCATAGATTTCTACATAAATGATACATATGGGATTATTTAAATAGGACTTTTTTGCAAAATAATGACTAAGTTAACTTTTATGCAAAATGTTTTCTAAATTTACCGAATTTCCATTTAATGATAAAAGGATAATTCTGGAAATATACCGGTTTTCTAAAACTCAATTTAGCGCGAAAATGACGCCAATCCCTGAAGTATTGCTCATACGATACCTAGGTGTGTCTGCACACAAATGAATCATTGAGACTTTTCATTGTAATTTAATTTTTTTAATTAACGCATACACCAGTTTACATTCATTCATTCATTCATGTACTTACAATTGCAAAAAACTTAGCTATTTGTATTTAATCTGAATTTTTTTAAGTAAAATCGTCAATAATCTCATATGTAATACACTTTTGTACATTTATTATAAAACTAAGTTGAAAATATGAATATTACAATTTTTCATCAATATTTTAAAATATAATATATTTGATACATATTTGAAATATAATATAATATATATATAATATTAAATATAGATTGTATTCTTTTATTTACTGAATAATAAAATTGCGTTTTTATGCATTAATATTATTTCATATCTTTTTTACTTAATTAAATCGAAATTAAAATATACATTAAAATATTAATTAAAAACAGCGAGTATTTTATTATGATTTATATATAAATGTAAATGTAAGAATTTTTTTCTCACATACGAGGATATGGAGTTTTTGCACATGCATTAATTTTTTTTCTGGAGGCATTGTATGTGTGTGTACTTGTATATAAACTTTTTATCACGCATTACTTTAGAAAAATCATTATAGTCGCAAATGCACTCGCTTTTTTAAAAAACTCATTCCTGCAAAAGTATAAAACTTATAACCCTTTATCAAATGAGTAATTATATGTCACTCATATAATTATTATACACATTAAATATGTCTACTCATATAATTATTATACACATTAAATATGTCACTCATATAATTATTATACACATAAGCATATTTGTGGCTGTAAATGATGTGTAAATTAAAGAGATAGCATTACATGATTGGACATTTCCTGTAAATGAACATATATACGCTTATTAAAACATGAGCTCATTAAGACAAAATTATTATATAATTAAGCGAAATTTCATTTTAACATAAATATTTACGAACGAGAAAAGATAAAGCGTGTTCCTTAAAGCTTCTTCCTGAGAAATTTATGAAGCTAATTAATTTAAGTTTTATTACACTCGTTAAAATTGATTTTACAGAAAATATTTAAAAAATTATTTGACCGTGGATTATTTTACATAAAAAAGACCGAAATTGTTACGCCATGACATAATCTAGTTGGCAAACAGATGACCGTTCCGGCGATGACGAATGCACACTATACACAAATGCACTTTCTCTAGGAAGATATTTAGTTATTATTATTGAGATATAGTTATAATTTTTGTTTGTTATATTTCTTTATATACAACTGTTATATAAGTCTCTCAGAAATTAAACTAGTTTTAATTATTCAATTAACTCTAACTATTAATCATGTGCTCTTTACTAAAATTAAAAAACTTAAAAAATGGAGTTGATTAGATTGATTTTTAAAAAGTTTACATATATATTTTTATTTTTTAGTTAATAAATTTCTGTCTAACACATACACACACACACACACATTACCTGCGGAAAATTATATTTATAATATTGTAGGAAAAAAAAACAATTTTCGAATATTATTTGAGCGCATATATTCATTAGTGACTAAAAATTATATATATTCATTAGTGACTAAAAATTATTATACATCGATCAAAAATTATTATTAACATTATAATAATACATAATAACATTATTAACATTATAATAATTTGTGATTAATGTATAATAATTTTTAGTCACTAATGAATATATGCGCTCAAATAATATTCGAAAATTATTTTTTTTCTATATTATAAATATAAATTGTGACCAATGTATAATAATAGAAATTCTTAACATATCGCAATTAAAGTATAATCTATTGAATTATTTTTGTATCTTCTCATATCTTTTTAGATAGATACGTGAGTATTTCCAACGTGATAAGGAAGTAATTTGTTCTATAAAAGATAAATAATTATTCTATAGAAATATATTTTTAACTATTGAAATTAAACTACTGAAATTCTTTTTTCTAATTTAAGTTTTTTTTACCGAAATTTAAACGGTTAATTTCAATCATATATATATAAAATAATAATAATAAAAAAGTAGTAGTTTAATAATAAAATGTTCAATTATAAGTAACATTATATTTAAAAATGAAATGTTCTTTGATTCTTCAATATAAATTGCTTGTAAAGATATCATTTTATTTAACATTTCAATCTTAATAGAAAAATTCCATGCTAGATTAAAAAAATCGACTACAGATTAATGAAAGCAATAAAATAAAAATTCAATATTTGTAAAACCATACAGTGACAGAGCAAATTATAGAGACGTGATATGCAAACTTAAAATCAATTTGTAGCTAAACAAAATGTGAGAGACAAAGAGAGAGAGAGAGAGGAATCTCTATCATTTGATACTCGAATATAAAGGATATAAGGGATCCTCAGAAGTTTTAATTTCGACGAAAAATTTTGAACATTTTGCCCAATGATGAGAACGCCCAGCCGTTTTCTGCGCGACCATCGGCTCGGGAATCCTTTTATTTATTTGTCACGAGGCGGACGTCGCTGCGCATGTGAAGCATCCTGGCCTGCGCGGGCTGCATCGACCCTCAAACCCATTTCGTACTCTCGAACAGTACATACCTAGCCGGAACCCACCGTGCCGGGTAATCGGAAAATAAGTGAAACGATATCGTATCGGATCGGCACGTCGAGTTGACCGTTTGACAATTCGCCATTAAGAGGAAGAGAGAGGTAGAGAGAGAGAGAAAGAGAGAGAGAGAGAGAGAATCTTGATAAAGCGAAAAAGGAATCACGGATATCCGTGAGAGAATGCATTTCCGATTACATTATCTGCTTTATTCAAGTACATGCGACACGATTCTCTTTAAACGTGTTTTTTAAGGGTGTCACACACTCGTTGAAGTAATTTAGAAATTGAAGAATAATCTTTCCTCATGTCCGGGTTCGACTCAATGAGTGTATATTTATGACATTCCGTGCGTGCGCAGAAATTAGAATGAAAGTGTGCCGGTTGTCTTCCTTAATCTTCTATTGGACACTAATTTTTATTATTTTTAGTGTTTGGTTCTCTTTTTATATTCTTCGTTATTATCGATCATTGTTATTTCGCACATTATAAATTAAAAACAATGTAATACTCAATTAATCTAATATAAAGAAGAATGATTTATCCGAATATTGTTATATATGTATAATTTATGTAAAAAAACTTATATTAAATTTTGTTTAACGTAATATGATATAATTTAATGCGTGCTGTTAATCAAGTAACATAGGATCTAGGTAATCCATCATTTACGAGTTGCTATACAAGCCTTATGAATCCTTTCACTATGCTGTAGAGTTCATCACGCTTTGAGAAGCGCTTTCATTATACTGCAGCAACATTGAATTATGAATCTTTGCTGTTCTAAAATTAAATAGAAAATGTTGCTTATAATATATTCCATTGGTTCTAATCTAAATGATCTTCGTTATCAAAACACACTTTGATGTAGTTTCTAATGGATATAATCTATTAAAATATCATTAGTTATTTAATAAAAATATATGCTTTGCATCTTAATTGGTTTTGCCAAAGATATAAATTTACTTAATGATGGAAGAATTTATGTAATTAGTTTAACGGTATTTTTATTAAACATTGTTTTAAAAAATGTATATATTTTTTTAAAAGAATTTATTTTCTTTTTTCTTTTACTTAAGTCATTTTACCTTTGTATCTTGTTATATCTGCGTAAAAAATATTTGCAGTAACTCACACCATTGCCATCATACATTCGAGCCACGTGCTTTGAGGTCAATAATTTGCCTGATAATAAGTTGAAATTTTTACGACGCAGCAATTTTGATGATACCACACAAGTGTTCGTTTGCAAACAACGTAACATTAAGATAATGCGAAGTCGATATTTTAAAAAGAAAAGTTCTCCCGAAAATTTTTTTAATTTTACACTTTTCAAATATATAGGATGAGGAAAAAAAACATACATAATATCCTGAAAAATAATGCATTCTAAATATCACGACCTGCCAAAACTCATAGATTCCAGAAGTAAGACTTTCCAAAAATATAATAATTCTTAGATATTTAATAAATAAAATAATATACTTGTTTTTTTATATAAAATGTCAGATTAATTATTAATGCAAACAGCATAAGATGTAATATGTAATAAAATATAATCTTTAACAAGTTTTTCTATAAAGATATTTAAAAAAAGAAAAGTAGATGTGAAAAAAAAAACAGTTTGATTTTAAAATCATCAATATGATTCTCGAAGAACGGTATCCGGCGTATTCCGTTTGCTTCCGTTTTTTTTTGCTCTTTTACACCTACGTACAATACATAATACATAGTCATAATAGCCGGCTCGGATTCACCTGCTCTTTCGCTCGCTAATTCGTTCACACGCACTAATTGCTTCCTTCTTGATCTCGTATCGTGTCGAGCTGCTTCGCGCGTTGCTTCACCAAGCGCGGCATTTATGTAAGGCATTTCACAAGAATGCCGTTGCTTGTGAAAATATACTGTTAGTCGTTATAATAAAATATTAAATTTCCTATAAAAATAATCTATATGGATCGCGTCACTTATTAGAAAAATATTATGCTGTGTGATTTTGTAGCATCCTACAAATTGAAACCTTTCTCGCATTTTACAATGGTTTTTTATAACTTATAAATTGATATAATCAAAGTATTTCTCAATACATGAGATATAATTCAAAAAAATGTATAATTAATAACTTATAATTTATATAATAACTTATAACTTATAATTTATAATTAATACATTAAAGTTTATAATTTCACCTTTGATTGTGTTCTGGCATTTAAAGTATTTTGAAATGACTCGACGATTGTTAATTCGTCAGAGATACTCTCCCTTTTTCTCTTTCTCTTTCAAAGTACATAAAATTAAAAAAATGAATGGTCTTCTAGGCGTGTACTTCAGTAATTATCGTAGAATCGCGTGACAATGTTAAAATAAGAAGGGTAAAAACGAGAACGCTTTCCGCGAATACTAAAATCGCGATAGTGAAAACGAACAAAATATCTCAATGGTTCTCCGTGGCTTATTAGCCCCTGCGGCAGCTCGTTGGAGGAGAAATAAAACTGCGAAAAGGTAAAATAAGCTCTTTGATTGATGGATAAATATACATATACATATTTACAATTTTTAATCCCTATTTTTATTAGATATATAATTTTTATATTGAAAATGAAAATGAAACTAAAATTCTGAAACTGAAATTAAATTAAAAGTGAAAAATGAATTAAATTAAAAATGAAAAAGTGCCACTCGAACAATAAAATTTCATTAATAACAGAGAGATTCATATTGAGGGAGAAATTTGAAGAATTTTATGAATGATACATCACTGAATTTTCATGTGGGATCTCTAGAGGCATTAACAGCAATTAGCAGACTGCTTTTTTACGGGCGTATATCGATTTAATTAATTATTCCACGTAATCATCCTACGGTTAAAATCAAATTTCTCCGTTAATGGCTTTCGATCGAATATACGCGGTATATATTCGCGAAATCGCGCGATTACGGACGCAAAGAGATATTCGGGTATATATAACCGCTCAAATAGATCATCGTGATAGCGATCTGCTGAAGCGTAAATCGTATTGCGTTAATTGGTATACGCGTTAATTTAACCGTAACCCCTTTCGTTTCAGAAGCCAGAGCGTCGTTCGGGACAGCGTAAACGCGTCGGTCGGCCAATTAGGACTGTCACGTTATGGACCGCAGGTGATGAGCGTGCTGTGTTTATGCACCTCCAGCATCCATCAATCTACCCGTAACGTCACGCACACCGGCAAGATACTCCCGAGTCCGCCGTTAGACACCCTTTGCGAGCAGCAAATAACGCCCTCGCAAGAAATACCCACTGACGAGCTGGCTCTATTAGCTAAGCTGGAGGAAGCCAATAGGTGAATAATCAAGTGGCCTCCATGGTTTTATCGGTTGATGTTACCACTAGATTCTTTCAAGAACAACGCATGGACCGCTAAATCGATACGTTAAATTGGCCTAACGAATCCAGAACGCAAAATTCGCACATTTTCCACTTTTCAAGATCCGTGGTAAAGTTGGAAGAACCTCTCGTGTGCATGTACAAATTTGGATTTCTTTTTATTTCAAGCTTAGAATAGAAATGTTAAATGTTAATTTTGCTACACATTTTGGCTTGGAAATGATGCAAAATAAGGCTGCACTTTTAACTCAATCTCGAAAAATTTGGGAAAAAGTGTAAGTTTTGGCTTTTTTCTATATGCCTTGTATAACGTACAAATTAATTTATTATGGAAATATATTAATAAATTTAACTAAGCATATATTTGAACGGAAAATATTTAATTTACAAGCATTATTATACTCTCAAAGAATGTACTATATCTAAGAAATCGAGATTTATCTGTATAATCTTACGAGAAATATCGGTAATCAAAAATTTAATTCGATTTACGTATAAAATAGTAGATCGCGAATACAATATTGATTTGTGTAAAAATTAATGTATAAATCAATATACCTATTATTGTTCAGTTAGACATCACAAACAGATATTATAATTCAGAATTTTAATCAATTCCAGGCTGATCGAATCCGATGCAAAATCATTGAACTCTCTCCAAAGCAATCATAGCAGAAAGGGCTCCGATACATCACAGGTGTCTGTGGCGTCGGGGGGCAGCGGAGGAAACGGCGATGCTGCGCCCCGACGCCACAACCCAGCCGATGGTGAAGAAAATACGTGGACTCTTTGGGGTCACATAGTATCTGATTGGGATTACCATTGGAAGAAACGAAAAGAATTTGTTAAGGAATTGGTTCGTCAAGGCATACCTCATCATTTTAGGTAAAACATACACATTATATTCAAAAACATTAAAGATTTTTTACCTATTAGTTAGGTTTTAGAAAATTAGTCTCAATATATATACATTTATATTTTGTATCAAACAATGGACATTTTTTGCATATGATTTATATAGATTATATATCATCTTTTAGAGGCATTGTGTGGCAGTTATTAAGCGGTGCTCATGATTCTCCCGTTAAGAAACAATTCGCTGAGTACATTAAAGCAACATCAGCCTGTGAGAGGATAATTAGAAGGGATATCGCTAGGACATATCCTGAACATGATTTTTTTAAGGAAAAAGATGGTCTTGGTCAGGAAAGTCTATTTAATGTTATGAAAGCGTATAGCCTTCATGATCGTGAAGTAGGATACTGCCAAGGCTCAGGATTCATAGTAGGATTACTTTTAATGCAGGTAAACTATTAACATTCTCGTAACAAATTTTAAATCGAAAAATTTCAAACAAATTATTTATAAAAATCCATAGTCTTAATCATTTATATAATTTAAATTTTTTATACGCATATATTTTTATTAATTATTTTTATCCTTTCTTATATGAAAAAAAGAAGAAATAATAAAGGCAATCTATTTTTATATATTTTACTTGACATAAATTTTGTATATTGTTGCAGCAAATGCCGGAAGAAGAAGCTTTTGCTGTACTCGTAGCGCTTATGCAAGAGTATCGTTTACGGGATATGTTCAAACCAAGTATGGCTGAATTAGGGGTATGCATGTATCAATTGGAACATTTAGTTGCTGACACGCATCCCGAACTTCATGCTCACTTCACGGCCCAAGGTTTTCATACGTCGATGTATGCGTCCTCTTGGTTTCTTACATTATTCACCACAGCGCTAAGTCTTCCCCTCGCATGTCGCATTTTTGACGTCTTTCTCTCAGAAGGCATGGAAATTATCTTCAAAGTTGCATTGGCAATGTTACATTTAGGCAAAGAAGATTTGCTCAGTTTAGATATGGAAGGCATGTTGAAGGTAAGATTTTATTTGAAAGTCTGCACACACTTTTCTTTAAATCGTTAGATTAAATAATTATCAATATTGTCACAAGAAACTTTTATATTTAGTATGATTTTATGTTCTTAAATAGGTGCACTTTAGTAGATAAATATATAGATATTTTTTTGTCTATTTAATAAATCGCAAAAAAAACTATAATTTTTTCTTTTCATACAGTTTTTCCAAAAGCAATTGCCTGGAAAGGCTGAAAAAGATCCTGATGGTCTCATGATGCTCGCTTATGGAATGAAAATTAACACGAAAAGAATGAAAAAATTGGAAAAGGACTACACTATTCTAAAGATGAAGGAACAGGAAGAAATGGTCGAGCTTCGCAGACTTAGAGCAGATAATAGATTGCTTAGACAAAGAACTGAACTTTTAGAAGCGGAATCTGCGGAACTGGCTGATAGATTAGTTAGAGGTCAAGTGTCACGAGCGGAAGAAGAAGAAACTGCTTTTATAGCGCAGAGAGAATTGGCAGCGCTTCGACATTCGCATCTCGAGACAAGTCATCAGCTCGAACAAGCTCACGAAGAATTGAGATCCCTTTCGATTCTTCTCGAGGAAAACATGACATCTAGACAGTCGTCACTCGACGAAATATTAGTGAAGCAAGAAGCATTATCACAGAAGGAAGAGATGATACAGTGTTTGCAAGAGGAATTGGTTAGAGTTAGATTACACGAAGCAGAAAATGATGCATTAATTAGGGAACTTAGAGGAAGAATACAAGAATTGGAACAAGATAAGAAGACTTTGCGCGAATCGACGCCAGACAACTCTGTTGCTCATTTGCAAGAGGAACTCATCGCAGTTAAGCTTAGAGAGGCGGAAGCTAATTTATCTTTAAAAGTAAGGTTTGCCATTTTTATGTATAATTTCTATGTTGACATTTTTTATAAACATTATGCTAATTGGAATAATTATGCGTTATATAGGATTTAAGACAAAGGGTTATGGAACTAAGTGCAGCTTGGCAAAGGCATTTACAAGAACATCGAGCTGCTCAATCAACACCTGCCGCTGATTCTACTCCAAAGAAGTTGCTGTTTTGGGAAAATAGAGGTCACGAAGTACAGAAGTTCGAGGAAGATCTAATGACGACTAGGATTCGAGAGATGGAAGCGTTAACCGAAGTTAAGGAACTACGACTTAAAGTTATGGAGCTTGAAACTCAGGTGCAAGTGGCAACCAATCAGCTTCGTAGACAAGATGAAGGTAGGAAAGTACTTAAGGATGATTTGGAGGCTGCGTTAGCTCGGGAAAAGGATCTGGCCGCCAAGCTTAGAGAACAACAGCATAAATACTCTGATCTGGAATCGAAAATGAAGGACGAAGCTATGATGGCCAGGATACGCGATGCCGAACATGCACAGCAAGTAGCGGAACTTACGCAGAAAATATCTCTTCTCGAATTAAAGGTTAGTTAATACACTTTTTACAAATTATCAGATATTTATATTATAAAATGAATAAAATATTTGATATATTTGTAGAACGAAGAGATGCATGCAGAAGGTGAACTTAGAAATAACTTAGATGACAGTGAAAAAGTAAGAGAACTTCAAGATAAAGTCGCCGAATTAAAAGCCGAGGTATGTGTAATTTTAATAAATTTACTACATTGTATTAAAAAGCAGTATCTCGGAATATTGCAGTAAGGGGTGGAGAACTATCTTTTTTATAACGTATATTTATCTCCCTCATATAATATATGTCAAGCAAGTGTAAGTTTTCTCTTTCAGTCTATGTAAATATAATAACACAAATCACATAAAAAGTAGCACAATATATATGTAAAAAATATTATTATATCATCTTAAATATCTTATTATATCATCTTAAATATTTTTATTACATTCAACCAAATATAATATTTGTGCAAACAATTAATGAAAAACGATGACATTTGCAATATGTATATATATTTCTTTTATTTTTTATACACAAATATTGTATAATTTTATGTAAATATTTCTTTATAAACAAACAATAACAAACAATAATTTGAAATAGTAATTTACAAATTTATTATAATCTCATAATTTAATGTGATCACAATTGTAATTTTTAACAATAATTAAAATCTCAAATATTCCATGAAAAAAGAAATCTATTTTATAAGATACAAAAAAAATATTTTATTTACAATTTTTTTTTTTTATTAAAGCACTGCATTGTTATATGTTCATTCTTTTCATTTCGCAAAATATATGTGACATTGTATTTTATCAAATAATTTGAACATTATGACATTAATTGATTATCACTTCTTTGATAAATTATGTTAATTCCAATAAGCTTAATATTACATATGTATATCATTTAAGTATAACACATTATTTAAGATTATATATAATGTCATCACTATATATTCCTAACAAGTGTTTTATACATAAACTGAACCTTTCGATTTTTAATGTCACATACTGCACTCTTATAAATTTAATCGTTATAAATTCATGCCTATTATACACAAAAGACATTCCACTTTGCTAAGTTTGTAAATGTAATACTGTAACTCGTTTTTTCATTGATGTATTACACTTATAAGACAATTATGCACAAACTGCACCTCTTACTGCAATTTAACGCTAACTAACACGCTTCATAACGTCGTCGCTTCTGGTGGATTGCGAAAACAAAATTTTTGTGACTATTGTGATTAAAATTTGTTTTATAGCTGAATACTGAGAACGTATTTCATTTTTTCGGAAATTCATTATGTCTTATTTATTTACACAAAATATGTGTTCTATAATTACCGTTGTATAAAATGGTATTTGTAAATGTAATATCTGTAAAGATAAAAAGGATACTGTTATATATAATATATTTTTTTGAAAAATGGAAAATATGTAAAAAGATAGTCAATCAATTCATTTTTTCAAATTTGATAATAAAAAGAAAAAAATTAGAAAAAAAATATATAATGTGATTAAACGATTAATAAAATTAATTTAGCCAAGAAAGGTTGCAATTAATTTAATTATATAAAATGTATATCGAAATAATTAAAAGACTTTATAAGGGAAAAATACATCTTCAGTATTTATTGTACACGCCACTAAAAATAACAATGCTTAATTAGTTAGAAGAATATAGCTTTGTTTCTTCGTGGATTTAAAACATACGGCTTTATACATTGCAATAATTTACCATTGTATAAGTACCTATACATATTAAGAATTCGCGTTCATCTAGAGATGATTCATTATTTCATATCAAAAATAAAAATCGACTGGTATTTATACTAGCACTTGATATAGCTTTTCATATCTGCGCTGTTCTTTGACATTCGTTTTTGAAAGCAAAAATTTTCAATTCCAATCAACTGTTTAGAGAGAAAAACTATAAAATAATTCTTATATCTTTTTTTTCTCCGATATTTTATTCATTCAAAATATGAATCAAATTGAAATTATCTATAAAATTGATTTAATTTCATTGAATGTACATTAACTAATGTCGAATTAGAAAATGAGAGTTAACACAGCGTGAGGATTAATTAGTTATGATCATAATTCTATAAATAAAATTATTGAAAATTGCAAGCAAATTTAAAATTATTCAACTATACATATCTTTTATAAACTACTAACACTCCATTCAAATTTGCATCAAGTATTTATGTAAGGACTTATTGATAAAATTTTAATTTACTAAGATTGTAAAATTTTAATTTATTAAGTTTGTAAAATTTTAATTTTATCACGATAGAGATACATTTGAGACATGCTGTTGTTAACATTTTTTTATAATATTGATAAAATGTCCAATTAAATATATTATTTGCAATATATGCGAAAGATTAAAACATAAAAAAAACCAGACATCAGTAAGAGCAGACATTTTTCTATTGAATTATATACTTAATATTCCGAGTTATGTTATTTATAACAAAAAAATCAAATAGAATTCATATTTAATTAATATTTTATTTTTTTTTGCAAAAAAAATTATACGTCTACTTGACAAATCAATTAATATATCTTATTAATGCGAAAAAAATAAATTGACAGCTTATCGTGTTTAATCTCAGGCGTGTACGTAATTTTTTAACCGGAATACGCATGATGTTGCTGAATGAGAGAATATGCACGGTAACGATTCTTATTGTGTAAAGGTACCAAACGATGACTAGTGCTAACCAGAAGGGACTAATCGTTGCAAAATTAACCCTCTATTGCTGTGTTATCTCTGTCTCTCCTCAGTTCCCCACGCCAATCACCAGCCCGGAGACTGAGCCTTGGCGCTGGCTCGAGTAAGTCTTTACCCATGTGTAAGCATCATTTTCTACCGTCTCCGTGTGTATGTGTGCGCGTGGCATGATATTTCTTCTTTTTTTCCATTTTTTTATTGTAAGAGAATTTATCATTGTAGCTGGTTCTCATTTATTGCGTTATATGTTTTCCTTCATAATCTGGGTCCGGAGTTTTTGCTTTTATTAATAGTCGGCAATGTATACATTTACATAGCGAGCAAACAGATTTACATTAGCAATTCATTATGTGATAGTCATTATAAATGTGCATCATAAGTGTATATAGTATTAAATATAATTAGCTTAATTCTAAGTATCCAATTAAATTCGATTGAAGAGCCAGAATTGTTTTGCGAGCAATATTGGATTGAATTCTTGAGTTGATTTAATTTAATATATAATTTTATGACTCTTAATAATATTGTCATATGAATCGCCACAAGTAACACTTTCGGATAAGTCCATTTAAATAAAATGTCGCTGACTTTTCTGTATTATACGCGTTGGTGATGCGTGAGCATGGCGTATTCTTCCCATTTAATTGCATGCTTCCTTAAGATTAAGTTCACTGTTTCGTTCTGATAAACATTCACGGCTGCTGCTTTTAGCTCGAAGAAGAAAAAAAATATAAACGTAAAAGAAGCGTGAAAGTAGCCGTGAAAGTATCATAAATGTTCATTAAATCAGTGTGAGATCGAATTTTGAGTTCTCTTTTCCTTCTTTGTTACATTAAAGCTATCGTATACAAATGGACATAGCTGCATATACATAGTGTGAAATTTGGATCAATGAACATTGAGCATGGTGACTTAACGCTTGATATTCAGGGTTTTATGCTACGCATATACAGCTATGTCAATTTGTGTGCAATAGCCCTTATTCATTTGCACATGATCTTATCTACTTGTATTGATACAGCTGTACATATTCAATGCAACAGAAGGATTTGCAATATTAATGTTAATTTATGTAACTGGAATGTTATTTTTTAATATCTCGTAAGTTATGATTTTTAAAACTTTTCATGAGAAAAAAATTTAATGACAATATACATTAATAATGGAGTATTTTCAGGATTGAAGTTGACGTTATTTCAGAAATTTTAAATTTTATGACAGAGTTCATTTTTTCGTTTTAAAAAATTTTAATTTTCTTTTCTTTTAATTTTAATAGGAATTGGATACCTTAAAGCGAGATATAGAACGCTTTCTCCTTTTCTAGAGAAATACTTGGAAGTACGTCTCACATCATGTTTTATCTGTCACAGGTCATGAGGCTAGAGAGCTGGAAACAACGATGGACGGGTCTCGGCGGACAAACCGTGCGAAGTTTCAGCGTCGATACTGAAAGCGAATTGGATGAGCGGGATCTCAGAATTTGCTTACAGGATCATATCAATACGACCACGCCAAACTCACCCGAGGTATAGAATTCTATGTATACCAGACCATTAGTAGGCAGCTAACTAATACTCCGTTATCGATGCGTACGAATCTTTTGTTCGTCGTTCGGCTTTCGCTGTAGGAAATAACGCGCTTAGATTATAATGTACGGGGAAATAGACCCGTATTAATCCTGTTTAGTTACGTGTATTACTACTAGGCCAAATATAACAAGTATGCATAGCCAATTAATTAATTATATTATAATGAACGAAACAATGAAATAATGATAGACATTTTCGATAATCGATTCAAGTAATCTCGATCGTAATCAGGAACAATGGTTTTAAAGAAATCAAATTGTAATTTATAATTCTATATTTGGAGATTTCTTTAAAGTTACATTTTCTTCTCAGAGCGGTCATCTCATAAAATGAGAAACTTTGTTGTAATGCTTTATATGTGCAGCACCATAGACAAGTATTGTTACTACAGCAGTATATTATTATATTTTATACATATTTTTATTATACTTAACATATTATATTTCATGAAGTATTACAGAGCATTTGACGTTATAGTTTTAATCACAGAGTATTATATAGAATATAACTAACAATTTTATATATTATCCAGTAAATAGTCACATATAACAGTAATTCTTTTTTGAACGAAGTTTAAACTGATATATAATAATCTCGATAAAACTTTAAAATTTAAGAAAATTACAAATTTGCATTTTTTTCGCGAAATTTGTTGCAAAAAATTTTGTATAATCATCTTGCAATATCTAAATTCCCGAATATATTATATATATCGCAATTGAATTATTTATTTTACATTCTATATAAAAGGAGAGAATGATATTACGTCCTAGTTGATAAGATTAATTCCAATAATTAGCCGTTTCGTATATAACGTCGCATATTATCCATTAATAAGATCCTTAATGAATTATGATATTTTATAATATTTCCAGGTGTGAAAAATTTTTATCTCTTTTATTTAAGAATTCGAACTGTTTAATAATTGCTCGAAGCTTGATTACGATCCGCAGATTATATCCGAAGATTATCATAGACTATATTCCGTGACACACGCAACTGTTTTTATACGCATGATATATATATATATATATATATATATATATATATATATATCTGTGTATTTTTTGTAATTCATACCAAATGTAATCGCATTTAAGAAGTTGTATATTAAACGTGGCAAACGTGGTGAGAATGTATTACCGTTTTTTATAAATATATGTATTTATATATATGTGTGTCACGTGGGATCATCGCGCAATACACAAATCACGATATTCATGCAACATACAGCGTGGGTTATTCTAATTGAGAAATTTGGCTATCTAAAGTTTAAGATACATTATATACTCTCGCATAGAGGGTAAATCGAACTCTTATTATTGTTGTCCCATATATATATCTACATCATTTGTAATATATTTAACGAATTTTTCTTAAAAAAAAAGATGAAAAAATATTAATTTTTACGGATAATATGCAATATTACGCACAGCACAAAATATGTATTTTTAATCACTTGAAGACGAATTTTATGATGGGGATTATAAGCTCTTAATGAATCGGTCATAATGTTTTGAGGAAGAAAAGCGAAAGAGTTCTTCCTCTTAATTGATTTATAACGATTGCAGATTATCGAAACTGAAACTGGAGATAATCAGAAATGCTTGTAAAAAATTAATATCCGCACAGTTCGTTTCTTACAGTGGCTTCTTAGGATAATAATTACTTTCAATATAAGCACAATATAAACACTTTGCTACTTTCTTTCATAATGAATCACCTCAGCCTATTTGCAACGCATCTTTTCTCGCTTGGCCTAAATCATTTTATATTCTTTTTACCGCGCTAACACATAAACACACACATACCCACACACATAATTGGCATCGATTAATGTTTAAAGCGTTGTAAATCTCTGCGTAAATGAATCACTTTCGGAAGTCCTCTTCGTTTTCACGCACGCATATATACAGTTGAGCATGAGCGTATCTCGTACAAAGTAACGATGATACATTAGCAAAATGATATGTCGTGATATTTTTCGATTACTGTACTTTACAGCGAATTTTGCATAGCGTTAAAAATTGAATAAATTAATTGGTTTGTGCCGCGCGAGGATTTAAAGGAGGTACCAAAATTAATATCAATTAAGGATTAAACGAAAATTGTAGAAAAGTACGAGTAACTGACTGTTTATGATAGTGTCGAGTAATGTATTTATTGTAAGTAGCACGACAAGGAATAAATGTGTAAGATCGAAGAGAAAGTAACGTTTGTATTTGCGTTTTAAATTTAGGAGAAGTATTTATGGCGTTTTAGATTCTGTTGCGCATTAAATTATGCTATTAAAAAAATCGTTAGAATCAATTTAATCATCATAAATTCTTAGCATCGTAGATGTGTGAACCGCGTTGTAGTATCATATAACACATATCTGTAGTCTCTATCTTTCTCTCTTCTGCGTCATTAAGAATCTGTATATATAGATTGTTTTAGACCTACCGAGTTATCTTTCAGCTCCAAATATCAGAAACCGAACTAATTGAAATGACAATGTTTGTCTTTAATGTAATTATGAAATTGCCTTAAAATGACAAATTAAGAACGTTTAATCAAATTAAGTTTCAAAAGCGATAAAATTATTGTTCTTTACTCGATTTAAAATGAATCTAATCTTTTTTCTATTTAATCTTTCCTTGTATTCCGAGATTTTTTTTGACAAAAATTGAAAAATTGCCACACGATAGATTTCAATCAAAGTTTCTCACTCGCTTGAGAACAGATCCGTATAAAATTAATAGAATAATTTAATATTTTATAATTTAATTTAAGAATAATTTAATATTTTATAATTTAATAAACACAACTCGCTAGGTCGAGAAACACCATGTATACAATACGAACTCGTCCCCATTAAATGAATTGAATTATTGATCATCTGCATGATAAAAGCGAAATAATAAATAAATCAGCGACTACGATTGCATTCAATGATATCAATTATGATATAAATTAAGTTGCATAAACCACGTTGTTTGCGAGGATAAACTATTATCAATCATCGTGCATTTTTGTAGTGAAATACACAAAATGTTCCTTAAGATTTATTTTTAATTAAATTCGATATGCGTGCAATTTCGAAATTTTAATAAAGATAACTGACGTTAATTAAAGATAAGCAATATTAATTCTTTTATTATAACATTGTTTATTTAACAAAGCTTCTTTCCCATTTGTGAAGCATATCCAAGAACAATTTGTACAATTAATTTAATAATTCCGTAGGTCTGTCTGATAAGAATGACATCCCGAGTTATTATTATTATCACTATTATCGTATTCAAAGAACACAAAGTGTAGCACAAGTTACAATGCGTCGCGCCGTGCCATTAATAATTTAGCGCACGTTTTCCTGCGGAAACCAGCGCGTTCGATCGTCGGCTACCGTAGGCTACCAAGATGTAGCATGCGTTCGTTCTTATTGCGACGATAGAAGGTCATCCGAGAGACGATTTAACTCTCCTCGATCTGTAACGGACGTATACGTTACGTCTCTCGGGCGATTAATCCGTTCTCAAATCGATTTGTCATTCGGTCGGCATTCCGCCGTATTTTTTAGCGCTATAGGCGAGAGATAGGCAATGTTTAATGGGCTTTTTGCGTCGCATCGCGATGCCGATCGACAGTGCAATCCATGTATGTATGTATAATACGTACGTGCGTGCATGCATGCGGACTGTAATAGACGAAATAATTCGTATCGATGCGTTATTGCGACATCCGCGTGAAAGCCGCGGTTAAACGTCTGTATATATTATATATATATATATATATATATAGATACAATCAGATACAGATACAATCTTTCTTCAACAACGACATATGACTCGCGCAATCGAGGAGGAAATAGCACGTGCGAACGGTATATATTTATGTTTCGAATAGGTCATAGATCTGATGGATTTGGGTGGTCAAACATCAATTAATTGATCGAACGAGAAAAACGATATTTTGTTTTTTTTTAATCCGCGCGGAGATTTGACGTTTTTAAAAACGTTTCGTTAGAAAATGTCACATGTCACGCCTTCTTTGTGCTAACAGTAATCATCGCGATTTATTCACGCGGATACAATACAAACATGTGCGATTGTTTGTGCAATTTTCTTTTTATCGTTAATAATAGCGTGAATTTTTTTTCGCTGAAAAAAATAACGGTACAAAATTTAGCGTAATGGAGATAATTTTGAATACGAGAGAGATCGAATTTGTGAATATTTTTACTTTTTATTATCACGCACTATAAAACATGGTATTTACTGTATATTTTCAACGCGAGTAAAAATTGCGCATCTAAAAAGTCTAAAGTCTATAAATCTACTGTTTTTGTATATGAATACACACTTGGTATATACGTAGTTTTATAAATAATGTAAAAATATGTATTGCACGTATGCATAAGCATGAACTGTCATTAATTGATGCGCAGAAAAATATTTTTGAAAAATTTATTTCAATTTTTATATCATGTATATATAATTGAACTTTTTCGCTTTATTTTTAAAATTCATAAATATCATAAATATCAAATTCATAAAATTCATAAATATCAGGAGAATATAATTTCATATACATATATAAGAGGTAAATCAGATTGACGTAAATTGTTTAAAAGTTTAAATTCAAGCTAACTTTATTTTTAGATTAAAAAGAACGTGAAAATAAAATTTAAAAAAAAGAACTGAAACATTAATCCTTTCCTATAGGTTTTACTAATACAATTCGTATCAAATAAACGTGTTTCAATTTTAATATTATAGATAAATGTTTCAACATTTTTCTATAAAAAAATCGTCGAAAATATCGAAACATAACATTGTTATAGACATTCAAGAACGCAAGTATTTCAATAATACCGAGTTGAAATAGGTTAAACGGTTAGTCAACGTAAAAGGCACGGATGCATAGTGTAGAGTTCGAAAAAAACTCTTGGACGGTGAATAATGCACAAACGCATCGTAAGATTTTCCATATGAGTGAGTTTTCTGATAACATGTTTCATCCAGATCGATATCGTTTCTTTGCGCGCCACCGACACTACCGGTAAAGAGGGAAAAAGAGAAGCAGAGGGTGCACCCTTTTAAGCCCCATTTTAGACGAATCGATTTTCAAGTATTGTCGTATGAGAGAACCGCTATATAACTCATAACGTTTTAATTTCACGTACGACATCGGGACCATAGACTTTCCATATCGTTTTCCATTTTATAAGAATGTATGATATCAATCTTTCTAATTTTTACGTATTCTTAATTACTCTGCATACACGTATAAATTGCTTAAATATTAAAATATTAGTTTTGTACTTTAATATGTTTTGTTTTCAAAACAATAGCATAAATTTGTTAACACAATATGAAATTATTTAAAATTACTTGAAATCGCAGTTGCATCTTGTAATAACATTAGTGATTTTATAGGTATTTTTTATCTTATTCTATTAACATATCGTATCTATACATCATCTTTGCTTATTATTTCCAAGTACTGATTTATGAAAACTGCATTATGCCAAATTATGCAGTTAGAAAAAAGCCATTTCATCTCGGGAAGCCACCCATGTTGCTAAAAAAATTCCAGTTTAGGATATATTTTTTGTCTAATTTTTTTTTAAATTATAGTGTAGTTTCTAATAATAAAATAAAGTAACATTTTTATACTGCAGTAAATTACAGTAGATAATTACAAGTTAGATAAATAAATAAATAAATAAAATATATATATATGTATTTATTTATTTACTTATGTATTATTTTATTTTATATTTTGGCATTTTTTAAATATGAAATTCTACTGGAATGAGCATGCAATGTATATTCTGTACTCGATAGTATATATTATTTTTTTCTCTAATGGTACGAAAATTATTTTGTATCTCATTTGAAACTTATTATATTAATAGAATATGCGTAGCATCTAAAATATTATTATCTCTTCAATAATTACCGCTCGATTTTATCTCAATTTTCATGATCCGAGGAGATTTATTTTCCCTTTCATACAATAATATTCTGCATCTGACCACAACAAAGACTGATTGTATGCGACTCGTAAAGGCAACTTATTAATTATCTGACGTCACAATTACCCTGAATCGTCGTTCGTATCGCTCGTTTGTCGTCCGTGTTGTGAGATAGCCGGATCTGAAATATTTCAAAAATATCAATCACATTGAATATATATATATATATATATATATATATATATATATATATATGAATTATGTATGTACATATGTGTACTCTTTTACTATAATATGAAAAAGAAGATAATGTTTCTGTATCAAATATTAATTCAATTTATCTTTTTTTCTCAATTTTGAGATCATTAACCGAAATCGCTTCATCGTTGCAATATTGTGATTTATGACGTTTCCTAAAAAAAAAAAAAGGAAATCTGTGTCTGTGTAAATTATATTGGTCAATTTTCAATGCTTGAAAACGAGAAACACATATAGAATTCTCTCTACGAAAGCTCTACATTCAGTTCATTACGACATCTCAAGACCGCAAGGAGTTTAAACATCCCATCGGAAGGGTGTCGCGCCTATCGATCGCGTGCACGTCAACCGTTATCCGGTCTATCGATAATTTCCGAGGTGAAGTAGCGCACGAGGGTGTAATATATATTCCAATCTCTAGGCTTAACGATCTCAAGACTAACGATATTTCAGCTGGAGAAAAAAAGAAGGTAAAAAGAAAGAGAAAGCAAGAGGCAGAGGGCGAGGTGAGAGCATCGGGCCGCGTCGGCGTTTTCATGTGGACGACGCAAGTTGCAGCAAGTAGTTTCCCAAATAGAATCCATCAGTCGAAGAGAGTGGAAAAAAAGTAATCCTTGGAAAGGGGTTCGTCGTTGCGCCGCGCTCGTCCCAGCGTTGCCGTTCCGCCGCGCGTGCACCGCGCGCTGCACTCTGCTGCACTTCACGGCACTGCGCTGCGCAGCATCCGACAGCGTCGCTGCGCGCATGCGCCGCGACATCGGCCGCCCGGGACGCGCGAGCGATGGGCCCGATCCGATTTTCAACTCTCCGTTCTCCGTCTCCGTCTCCGGATGCATTCGAGAGCGAGTCTCCAAATGCGAGAGGTGGGTCGAGGACCGTGATTAGGGATCAGCGCAGCAACTTGTAGGTTAACTCTTGAGTCTCCGATATATGTGTACGATAAAACATTTTCTCCGATATTTCCCTGGAAACGAAATTTTATCCTCAGATGAAGCTGTGATATACACTCGTAGTCAGGTTTTATTTGTTAATATCAATATCAAATTTAAAAAATAATGCAACAGGAGTTAAAATTTTATTTAAAGATTCATTTAATTGTCACAATTTCCCAAAATTTTTTAAGAGTTTTACATATTTGATTTTCTAAAAGTTTTATAATATTTAAAAAAGAAATTGCACTATTCTTAAAATTTAATTACATAAAAAAAAGAACTTTCCATTTTCTCTTTTCAGACGATAAAATTTTCACGCCCTTAGGAGAATATTGTTACAATTAAGGGAGAAAATTCCGAAACCGATACTGATTGTTCCAACAACGATTCGTTTGATGAGATAGTAACAATTTTTATTGCCTGAAACAATTTTGTATAGAATGATAGCGCATTCTCATAATACATCTGCATAATAAGAAAAGAAAAAAGAAAATGCATAGCCTTCGGGAAGGAATTTAATAATGGTAAGAAAATATTTTACACAAATAAATTGTACCTATAAATGTAAAATAAATAAAAACCTCTTACATCGGATATAATTGAAATCCACTTATTTAATCTTCTATTATATTTTTTATCCATTATTTTCTTGTTTATAGTATTTCAATGAAGATAATAAAAGCGACGCAACGTTTATCACATTTAAAAATGCTTCCCAACGCTATAAAATGAAGTTATCAAAGGATACCAGCGTCAAATTGATAATTGGAGTAAAAATAATCGAGATGTTGCAAATTCATTAATTCTTGTCGGCGAACCTAAATCGAGACAACGTTACTCGCAAAAACGCCCATTCCTGTCGAGATGTTCCAGGAAGGGAGCTTCGAGAAACAGCCCTGCGCATCGTCCTTCCCAAGCCTAGGGTATCGATATACCCTTTTCGCCCTGCTCGAAGCCATCGCTAGCCACGACGGCAACGTTGCCGATTTTTCTCGAGATCTCCCGTCACGGGGAAAGGGGAGGCACGAACGAGCGTGCGCGCGCGCGCGCGCGCGCGGACTCCCGTACAAATGCATACGGGCAGGGGTGGCCGACCAATTAAATATGGCGACCGCGGCGCGGGGTGTGGCGCTTGCGCATGCGCGCGACCGTCGTGCGCGGTGAAGGGGAGCGCGACGATCGGCAAAGGGTCGTCGGGGTGGGGGAAGACGGGAATCGCGGACCAAGCGACGACGAGAAGGAACCGGCCGGCGAGCAGAAAGAGGCGACGAGTGCTTGGCGTACGGTTTGTGTGGTGCGCGCTACCGATAGACAAGCTCCTACGGAGTGTACGCGATCGAGGCTTCTTGGGGAAAGAGAAAAACGAGCGACGCGCAGGAGTGACTTGGCGAGCAGCTCCGAAAAGAGAGAAAGAGAAGCACGTTAGCAAGAATGACGATGGCAACCGAGACGGAGAACAACGGGCCCGAGAGCAAGGAGATCAAGGACGTGAAGGAGATGAAGGAGGCGCTCAAGGACGACGCGCCGCCGGATAACAAGCAGGAGGAGAAGGACGCGGCGAAGAAGGACGAGACGGCCGGCAAGAAGGACGACGACGCCGCCGCCGCGGCCGCTGCCGGCGGCGCGGCCGCGGCGCCGGCGAAGGCCAACGTCGTGCATCACCCCGACTACGAGAAGGATGTTGTTTATCTGTATCAGTTCCCGCGGACGCCGTTGCTACCGTCCCTGTCCCCCTACGGTCTCAAGGTGGAGACGTGGTTGCGATTGAACGGCATCAAATACGAGGTAAGTGTCACGAATATCTTTTTTTTTCTTTTTTCGTTTCTTCCTTTTCTCTCGCGGGGGGGTGGAGGGAGGAGGGGCGCCAAATCGGTCCCCTCGCTTTTCTCTCATGCATGTTCGTGCGTGCCCGCCTGCCGGTCTGCCGGCCCGGCGAGGGAGAATCGATTTTCTTTATTCTGCTCGTCGAGCGCCAGTCTCTCCGGCCGTTGTCTCTTTTCTCTCTTTCTCTCTCTCTTTCTTTCTCTCTCTTTCTTTATCGGGCCGACTCTGGCGGCCGATCGCCTTTCGGAGTCGAGAGATATTCCCGAAATATGGAAATACGAAATATATATATAAATACGCACGTCATGTCCTGTCTTCGAGTGTGAACGAATGAGGGGGGAGGGGGGCAGCAGGGATTAATGGCGCATTCAACTCTGTTCGCGCGAACGGAATATGCGCGCTGTACAAATTTCCCATCGAAGCGCGAAATTAGTTTCGACGAGTCGGATTAAAATCGATCGTTACGCAACCACGGAAAATCCTGCGTCCCCCCATGTCAACAGTTCCATTCTCGCGATTAAACGTGAATCATTTTCGCGCGTCTTTATCGTCGGTGGGCCCCGCGCGAATTGGTAGCGATTTAAATCCCCGTTCTTCACGATATGGCGTCGTAATTTGTATCGCGTTACCAGCGACGCTCGATTCGGTCCGCGGACAAAATATCCCTCGCGGATTCGTGCGATCGAACAGTGATTTAACGTCACCGGATTTTCCGAACTCGCGCGCTCGCGATCAGCGGGAATCAGGGTGTGGATGAGGGGGAACGCTTTCGTGCGACGCGACGTTTCGACTTTCCCGATGCAGCCGAGGCCTGTTTACATACGTGCGCTACATGCGTTTGTGATTGTTTCTCGAAGGCAGGGGAAACGGATTGGTAAATGTAACGCGCTTGAAACGCGTTATCCAGAGTTATCGAGCGGAGCTATTATAAGCAACCACATTTACACGACGTATATTTTTGTCTCGTCTTATTTAGCGTTACGTTGATTAAATCTATCCACGCTATCTTTTGGAATTATAGAAATTATAATTCTAAAAGAGTGTTGACACCTTCGAAATGAAAATGTCATTTAAAAATCTCAAATTAAAAGTGTCATTTAAAAATCTCAAACGAAAGCGATTTAGAAGGTTGTCACCTTCTCTCAAATTTGTACAAAATATTTTTATGCTCGATGCGCTCTCGAAATTTCCTTTGTTACCGGTTAAACAAAAAGGAACTATCTTTTTATATTCTTTTATTTCTTCCTCGAATATTTTTGTTTTCATCGAGGGATATATGAAGATTCCTCGAGATAATTTCGTCGCACAAGGAAAAACGCGCATGTTAAGCGTACGTCGCGACATTGTGAGGATAATTATCGTTTGCTTGCGACGCACAATAAAAATGCATGCATATAAAGACGGCCTTCGCGCGGATCGCTTCAAAATGGCGGCTGCTGTCAACTTTCGGAGCAGTGCATTCGACCTAGGCGTACCCCCGGTGTAAAGAGCGGTGTTCGATCAATTTATCCCTCGACTTATCGATAAAAGAACGACAAGCTTGACAAAAATATATAACTGCGTGAATTTATGATTGCGTAGCAAAATATGCGCGCGTATCAAGAGTGAGAAAAGAAAGAATAAAATATATATGCATGCGAATGAGAATAATCTTTTTATTCGCGCTACTGAAGAAGAGGAGATTCAAGCCGTAATATTTATATTTTTAGAATCTTTATGTAAACTTCTCGCGATATTAAATTTCTTTATCTGTCGTGAAAAAATCGGAAGATATCTCTAATCTTGTGTACCGCATTCCGAAGACCTATCTTGGTATTAAATTCGATGGATTTTTTCAGCAAGATTATATTCTACACGTATTTAAGGCTATCCCTCTTTTCTTTATTATAAAACTCAGTAATCTTGCATTCTTCGACTTTTACGGAAAATTTGCGCAAATTCGACACGGTGATTTCCGAATAACGCGCATTCACGGCATATCCGTTGCCTTTGACGCAAAACGATCGGTCATTTCTTTCCGCTGCGCGATTTTATTGATATAGAAAGCGGGGCATCCCGCTTCCGAGACGGCGAGAGAACGATCTCGGGACGAAAGTTGCGTTTATAATTCGCGAAATCGTTACGAGCCGTGCTCGTTTCGGCTGCTTTCCGGATAAACGCAGGCGAGTAATGATGGGTTCGTTAAAAAATCGGATTTCGTCGAGCTCCTTTTCCCACCGTCGTCAATTCGTACAGATCGATACGCGATATATCGGCAGATCCCTGCGAACCGATGATCGTCGAGAAAATCGATTGTGTGTTACTCGTGTCGTCGTCGTCGTCGAGAATAGACGCTTTCTCGCGCGAAAGTTGAAATTCTTCCCAAGCATCCCATTCGACTCGCTTAATTATCGCGATTCATTAGAACGATATTGTGAGCGAAAATCATCGTTAATGATCGGAATAATGGCCAATTGAGAATTCGTTCGTCGGTTCGCTTTTGTAGCTTCATTGTCGGCTGCTATGTACTCGTTGGCTAACGATTTAAGAGGCTTTTCACATTTTCATTGCTGGCGGATTGCGATACGTATCGAGTTCTTCTAACTGTGAGGATGACTGACGTGACATGAAAATTACATTAGGAAGATATAAACAGATTTTTATGCAAAATCATTTTAATTTGAAACGCAGAATCTCCTCTTTTCTCGAGCGATGCTTGACAAGTTAAAAAAGATCCGATTCATATGCAAGGGGGCCTATTGTTAGAGATATCTCGCTCTCCTCCTCCTTCACTTGCAGATTCCTCGGGCAATCGGCGACGTGGAATATACCCTAATGGAAACCACGACTGCAATCATTTAATTTCTTTCATTTAATTACAAATATCTTCGTGATTAACTCGAATGGAAACTTTGTTAAAGTGCACAGCACAAGCTGCGATATCATTAAGTTATTGCGAAGACTTCTCGCAGAGATCTCTGAAACTCCCTTCTCTCGTCAGTTTAGCTTCGTAAACTATAATACTCACATGTCTTAAGAAAATATATATTCTGAATTGCTCGAGGAACCTGGGTACATACGAAGATAAATTTTCCGGTAGAGAGAGAAATTCCGCTAGTGATCTCCAGCCTGGTTATCGACCCTCATGACATATTTGTCTTCCTTCTATATTGTCGCTCTTGCCTATCCCGCGAATCGTTACCCTGACATCTGTTGAACATAACACTTCGGAAGGGAATGGCGATGTAGCCGTTCAAGACTCCTCTAAACAGAGGAATGCCTTTCATTATCCGCGAGTCTGTCTTCTTAACGAACTTCAAAGGAATCTTCAAAGAAATGTTCACTCTCTTCCTCTCAATAATCTAATCTAATTCCATTGATAGTAATATTGAATTATATCGAAAAATATAATATATAATTTTTAGAAGGCAAATATTATCAATATACGCTTTCACTTACATTTATTTTAAAAATATCGTCGTCATATCTAATTTCGACATAAAATTCTTTCAGTGCTCTAAAGTGTATATTTAATAGTTATTGTTAATTCTTATTTCAAGATATCAGAGTCATATATAATTTTCACTTTCTCTTTCTCTCAATAATCTAATTTAATTTTCCATTGACAAAAAATTCCTCTTTTTCGAAAGGAATTTTTCGGAATTTTTAGAAAAAAAACTCGATAATATTATCAATATACACTTTTACTTGTATTTATTTTAGAAATATCGTTATATCTCGTTATATAAAATTCTTTCTCTAAGTGTTCTAAAATGTATATTTAATAGTTATCATCGTTAATTCTTATTTCAAGATATCAGAGTCATATATAAGTTATTTATGAATAACTAACGCACAAAGTTTGTATTGATATTAAAAGCTGTTAATCACTTCAGAATAAAAAGAAAGATACAATTTTCTTGATTATAAGTTTTTGGAAAGACAATTAGATATATTGTTTTATTTTTAATATTTTTCATTCTTTCTATTGCAATATATATTTATTGTTAATACGAGTTCAATTTATATCTGAAAATATATTTCGAAAAGTTATTATTTGTAACAATCTTTCTTTTTTTAAAGAACTAATGGGACAACAGTTGACTAATTAAACAGCAAATTCCTTTAATTTCTATTAAATTAGTTTTATGCAATTTAAATGAGGAAAAAAAATTTGTTATTCACAGATTTAAAGCGTCATATAAATTTTTTTAATTTGCAATTATTTATAATTTCGAAACTTATAATAATTCTGATATCGCTTTTTTTGTTTGCTCTTTAATTTTTTTTTTCATTTCTGTTTGAAAATATATTAAAGATATTCCTTTATTCAATTTCGTTGACATGTCGTTTAGCATTTTATAAATCTTTAATTATTTCCCTCGACTAGCTGTGTCATAAATATACTATAATAGCATGTCAAGAGACGATAACTGTCTTGCTGTAATATCATATCGTGAGATATCGTTCCTGTCCCCTTCTTTTCCCCCTCTTCGCTCGTAGATTTTCCTAATGAATAGCCATTCCGACCGCGAAATGACAGAATTGGGAGAAAAGAGGTCACAGGTAATATGGAGGAAGTTCCTATTGAACTAATCATTATCAAGATAGCTACAAATAATGAGTGGAACGATCGAGATCAATTGATCGAGTCGGCCAACTTCGAACATGTTAACGCTAAACGCACACGTCATTTTCGAGAAATTCCTCCTCTATCTTTCATTAACACCTTTGAAGTAGGACATCGATATCGTCGATTCCACGGCTTAGAGATAGCATGGAAACCGTCCTATATGTGGACAGATGTTCTTTTTTCCAGGTCGTGGACTTTTTTATTATCCCAGTTTCCGAATTTAACTCTTCCCGAATAAGATAGAAGAACAACCTTGCGCGAACGGTTTATCTCAGTCAGATAAACTTGGACGCTTGGAATTTTTAACTGATACCTAATTTACCTAATTAAATGCCGAGAAAAAATTATC